TTATTCCTTAAGGCAAGAATTATGATACAAACAGTAAGATCTTCTCTCCCATATTCTAAAGTATTTCATATGTCCCTGTATTTATCACTTGGTGAATTAAACACGCTAACAACTTGTTGGTCATTAGAAAGTTTCTTATCACAGTTAGCTAAATCTTGAATTAATTTTAAATATTTGTCAATGTTTTCTTCTAGGTTGTGAGATGAGTCAAACCTAACATTATAGAACTGCCTTGGAAGGTAACACTTATTAGGCATAGTTTCAGTTAGGTACAACATTCCTAACTTAGCCCATAAAGCCTAGGTATTAGTAGTTTCACAAACTTTCCTAATCGCACTATCAGAAAGGTGGAGAAAGATGGAACTCCAGGCAATTTCATCTAGTTCTTATCTCCTATAGGCACTAATCTCAGCAGCCTAAGACCCATCTAGAGCAGCAACATATCTCTGTTGTAATAATAGTGCTCTCATTTTCTGGCGTCGAATATTAAAATCTCCAATACCATTCCATATTTCAACTTCAAATTTTTGTGTAGTGGACATATTGACAAGTATGATCACAAAATTACAATTATACAATACACAATGTATTATTTATTCAAGCATCTGAATAGAATTGCAGAAAATGTGAATTTCAAAATAAGAAAGATGTAACCAATTATGCCTACTTATCATGGAATTCGTACAATCACAAGTATTGTAATTAATGAATATAATTTGAGACAGGTTTAAGGTGTGGTAACCGTGGATTCTACTACTCCCTCAGAATCTCAGATCCTTGCAGGAGTTCTTGGACAAAGGAAAGTAATGGTAGATTACTTACCTTAATAACTAATTTCAAAATTAAACAGATAAGGGCCAGAGTCTGAAATCTCAAAATTTCATAATGAAGTGAGCAATAAGAAAATATCAAGGTTGAACCAAGAGTCCCAATTTAAATACAGGAACACGAGTCACAGTGACTCGGTAACCCTAAGTGGTGAGTCGGTACTCAATAGGAATCGAAATGAGTTAACTTAACTCGCCAAGACTCAGTACGAGTTATAAGATCCACCAGAACTCAGTAGCAAATTAAACCAGAATCGCCAGAACTAAGTACAAACAACATATCAAAATGAGTCAAATCGAGTTAGAAGGTTTCGAAGAAACAAAGAACTTTTAATCTCAAATTACAATAGACGATCTCGATGGTTATTGAAGATAAAACCAAAAAATACCAGATTATCACTAAGTGATCCAACCAAAAGTTGAATCAAGGTTAGATCTACAAACAAAGATTTCAAGAAATCAATTTCTTACGCAAAACTTTAAAGAAAACTCAATTTTGTAGAAAAAACTTCAAAGAAACACAAGAACACGAAAATTGTTTTGTCCTAAAAGGGTCTGAATGTTGAGTCTAACGACCTAATCACCCATTGAACATCTATCAAGAGATAATGCTCCAAATCCATTAATATCAACCAAGAAATTGTACAGAAATGTATGAAAAAAATAATAGATTTCTTCAAATTCTTTCTAGCCTCATAGACAAATTAGTAACCAACACTCAAAAATCTCTCACAGATTATACTAAACAACCTTCATTCTTACAAAAGAATAGAGATTACAACGCACTACAACAAAAGCAGCCTACGGCAACGTTCGAAAAACGTTGTCGTAGACCTTTTGCAACGTTTGGATGTGTGTTGCAAGTCGAGGTATTGCCGTAGTGTAGAAAGATACGACAATTCGCAATGTTTAGAAAACATCTCTAAACGTTGCGAAAGGGTTCTTTGGCAACGTTTTTTTAAACGTTGCGAAACGAAAGAGGTCTACGGCTTCGTTTAAAAAAAGGTTGTCGTAGACCTCTTTCGCAACGTTTAAAAAATGTTGCCGTAGGTCATATTACATTTTTTTTTTTGCAATTTATGTAAATTGACAGGCAAAATTGAAAATACTCATTTGAACAAATTTTAAAATTACATAAAAATTGATAATTTCATT